CAGTGCATTGGCTAATATATCTACGTGTAAGTAATATAGGCCTATAACACAATTTATTGTATTGCCGTGTACATTTCAACTTTATTGACAATCCTTAATTTCAATATTTAAGATTGATTTTGAAATTGTTTAGAGGTATAATATAAAATAACTATTATAACATTTTGGCAAAAGTATAATGGCCAAACTGGCCCTGATTAGGCCTACTTCCAACATAAAAAATTGTAACCCTTAAATTAAAAGTGAAGACATTAATTTTTCTAAAATTATGCATACTTTTAATTTTTGGTGACAACATGGCCGGTGTAAGTCACAGGGACGTAGCCAGGATTTTGAAAGGGGGGGAGCCGTTATGCGAATTACGTATGACCCCGGCGGGGTCAAATCCCCCTGTGAAGTAGCGCACTCTGAACGTTCTTAGGACTGTTTGAGAGGATAAAGTGAAAATTGCAATAGACGCATTATAAATAAGCGCAAAAATAATTATATAATAAATCAACAGTGGCAGATCCAGGAATTCGATAGAGAGGTGAACCAGGGAGGGACTCACAGACCGAGGAACCCACCTTAGCCCAACCATGGTTGGGGCTGAGAAAATTTATGATTAGGGCATCTCTAGATGGCCGGAAATTACACTCTCGCACTTCAATTTGAATATATTTTTCTTTTTTTTTTTCATTAAAAAAATGAAGGGGGGGCCTTGAATCCACCTCTGCTCAAAACATTCTTTATCCAGAATAGTCATAGGCCTAATCACGAAAAATGGACATGAAAAACCAGATCACATCCTGAAAACTAAGACATACATCAGGAGCCGACTCGATGGAGTTTAATGTCATACCCAGGGAAGGGCACAGATCTGTTTTGAAAGGTGGAGGGGGAGGGCATTTTGTGAGTCGACACCCACCTCAGCCTCACAGGGCTGAGGTGAGAAAATTTGAGGAAATAGTACCTCTAGATGGCCAGAAATGACACTTTTAGTAAAATTCATCATCATCACATCACCATTAGTCAAAATGAAGCGCCAAAAAAAAATTCTCATGATCTTTCATCAGGGATTTTCGACAACCAGATCTTATTAATGTGTGTGTGTGTGTATACCATAGAAAACAAAGCTTAAAAACATTGTCTTTGAGTATGTACTTTACATACTTCAAAAACGTGATTTCCTAACCACCTCAGCCCCACCATGGCTGGGGCTGAGGTGAGAAAATTTGAGGAAATAGTACCTCTCGAGATGGCTGGAAATGACACTTTTATATAGTAAAATTCATCATCATCACATTACCATTATAGTCAAAATGAAACGCCACCAAATTTCTCATGATCTTTTATCAGGAATCTACTTAATATCCAGGACAACTTAGGCCTAATTATAACTTACTAAGCTTTAAATATATATACTATAGTATGATCAACAAATCACAACTTTTTTTTTCGCATTTAGCACAATTTCTTCACTTTTTATTGTTATTATTATTAATATCAATTATTACTATTGTCATCATCATCATTGTTATTATTATTATAACTATTAGTAGTAGTATTATTAAACAATCATTTAAAGAAACTTACAAATTAAGATTTCTATCTTAAAAGACCTGGCCTGAGATTTATGGATTTAAGATTTTTTTAAATCACGCTAGGCCTATGTGTTCTATCATGCCTATGTATAACGTGTACTGATGCATATTTACATGTTTAGAAGTATTCATTTTGAGTGATCCCAGGAAAGAATTTGTATTGACTCAAGAATAAGCTTTAAAATTTTAACCGGCCCCGGGGGGGGGGGGGGGAACGCCCCCCCCCCCCACCCCCCCCCCCCCCCCCGGATACGTCCCTGGTAAGTCACGTGATTGAAACCGAGTTGGCCAAACTCTCTCTATCTACGGCTCTGTTCTCTATATGCGCGGCGGCCGACTGCTGCTGCTGCTCTTCAAGTCAAGACTAGAACCTCGGAAAAACGCAGGCAAAGGCCAGCTTAACTTCCGCTTTGGTTTGAGTGTCTGTCCTTACTGCTTAGATTATGAGTATTTCTGGGTTATGTTCTATGTAATAGTTATATAATATCATGTGATTGTTTTCCAATATAGAGAATCTGATTTTAAAGGTTTGTAAGTGTTTATTATTAGCGTCTACTTTACTAGGCCTAGCTAGGCCTACATATCTTTAAGGTACTATCTAGGCCTAGGGGCTAGGAGTCTAGGCTAGGCCTACCACTATACGTAGGCCTATCAGTATCGGGGTTTTTTTTAGCAGATCGGTCAGGACAGGCCTAGGCTTAGCTAGGGTGAATAGGCGTTCTTTCCTAGGTTTTTCTAAACTTAGGTAAGGAGGAAGTAGGTTTACTAAATATACTTTTATTACTAATATACTAACTGGTACTGTACTAGAAGTAATGACACAAAAGGCCTCGTCTAGTGCTAGGCCTAGACATTCTAGATGACGAGTCAGAAGGGAAAGGTAGGACTCAGCCTACTCAGGGCCTGCTTTCCTAGACTAGGCCTAGGGGCCTAGCCTAGATAATATTCTTATTCTTATTCTTTTATTGCCAAAACAAGACATTCACAAACCAATCCACTGGGTGGTCGGGCAGGACTTCAAAAAAGTGAACCTAATCACTATTATTACATTAAGCATGAAGTCCTCGACAACCCAGCAGCTTCACAAAAAAACATACCCATAAAAACAGAATGTATTACAATACAGTATAGGCCTATATAACCTTATTTACATAATATTATTTTATTAATCTTATTTTTTTTTTTATATGCATAGGCCTAGATAGGTGGGACATGCGTTTGAACGTGGATACCTCCATCCATGGTTTAAACTGGGACCAGGTTTAGAAAGAAGATGACCAGCCTTTTGAGTGCTTTTTTTTTTCACATCCGGGTCAAAACGGCAATAAACCAAATCGGCAGCAAGTCAAAATGTTAAATGGCAATGACTAACATGGCAATAAGCAAAAACGGCAACACTTTTCTACCAAAAACAGCAAAATGGAAAGTTGGCAAAAACAAAGTAATATGAGGCATGTTGTGGCAAAATGGCTAAGTTGTAGCAAATATTGAAATTCAAGTTACTGGTATTTTCAGATAAATGAGTATGTGATCTTTAAAATGAGGGGTCATTCATAGAAATTGGACATTTCAAGCCTAAGTTATTGGAAAGTGAATGTACAGTAGTCTTAGAATCAAGATAAACACAATTTTGAGTAATTGCCTTTCAAAGTTATTTGTGCATACATTGTTTAATAGAATGAACTATCAAAATAACATTAAATAAACAGTTTGTTGACCACTTGCAGAACTAATACTTTGGCACATGATTAATAAGACAATAAACTGTTGATCTATAGTGAAAAGCAAATTTGGATTTTTAGGCAATTTTTTGAACTCCCATATTTTAAAGCTCATTTACTCAATACTGGACTGTGCGACAACTTAGATATTTCGCCATGACATGCCTCATATTATTAAGATTCAAGCAAGGCCCAGTTCCTAGAATTCGGACAAAACGATAGTGTACTACTTCTTGGTATACTCCTTAAGGGTTGTAGTCAAATTTAATTAAATGAAAGTAAAATGTGGTATGAATTAAAATAAATAAAATAGTATTATAAATATATTTCCCCATATACGATTTTCATTCAGTTTTTTCAAATATGTTATGATCGATTTAACAAATTCATATGTTTGACAACTAATGGAATGCAAAGATTAAATGATTATTTACATTAGAAATTCACATTGTGCGTTCACAAAGAAAACATTTAAAACAGTAGTGTAGACAGAAACACAGCAATGTACTATACGGTGAATCAAGATGAATGATAAAATTTTTAAAAAGTACTCATTAGTCAAACACCGTTTCTTTTTACAATAAATACCGAAGTAAGTGACAATTTTGTTAATATAAACGAATGTTCATAAAAAATTAGGTTTTACAATGCATAATATCTTTTCTCTGTTGCCATGCTATTTTTAAATATGAGATAGAAAGATCGTTCATAAATTTACTAGAGTTTCCAATCCATTTTAGTGTTACAATCTCCACTCATGAATAAGTGCCATAAATAATAATCAGAATTTGATGTGATTTTCTTTTCCGCAGCGATATATTCATCAGATCTTATTTTATTAAGTGTTCTACATGTTAACATAAAATGTATGATATCGTCCTCATTTCCTTGGCAAAGAGGGCATTATTTATCAACAGTAGAATATCAATAGTGGGAGCGGTTGGCGCATCAGTTGTGGCTTGGACTTCAACCTTGATGTTAGGGGTTGAAACTCCCGCTGTGCAAGTCGCTTGTGTCCTTGGGCAAGGCACTTTATCTATGTTTGTTTCTCTCTACCCAAGAGTATAAATGGGTACCTGGTAGGATGTTGTGGCATTGAATGTACTGTTAGACCAAGGATAAAAACGATCAGCTCCTTTGATCATTTGTTGGAATTGGCGCTGTAGAAATATTTGGGTATTATTATTATTATTAACAATATTTGTTATATTATCTTAAAGCTTTCAAAATGGGACGAAAAAGTAAGAAGAGGCAAATGAAGGATGCCGATGGATTGACCAAAAGTGAAAGAAAAGAAATTCAGGCACTATGCTCCCAGCTTTTGGATTGTAAGCTTATTAATAAAATGTCATTTACAGGTGTTAATGATATCAATTAGTGATAAAAGAAAAATGGTTGTTTTCTCTTTTTATGTAATTCACAATGGTAATGTATAGTCTGGATTAAGTCCTTTGAAACTGCCCAAAGATTTTCCATGTGCAATTTTAACTGCAGAAATTTTTAACAAACAGCATATAACTAGTAGTAATGTTATATTAAAATTAAAATGGTATAAAAAAAATATAGTCTTGCCACAAGTCCCTTGTTATATTTTTCCCTTATTCTAAACAGCGCCACCAAAGAGGGAATAAAGTTAAGTTAAAATTGAGTATGGGACGCCAATTAAATTAGGTATGGTGCGCACTAATCGCAATAAAGAGTAAGTAACCCAAAATTAGTACCTGGAACCCAGACTAATAAACATACTTTCAAAATTATTGATTAGTTTCACAGTTTGTATATTACAGAAGTGACACATAATAAATTACCAAGGGTGTATATTGTGTGAATTTTAATGTAGATCATTTATTAAATCAGCACATTCCTGTTTTTTCACATACACATACTATGCTCTTACATTTTATTTCAGTGTGTAAAACACCAACCCAAGTGAGTACACAGAAACAATGGGAGGAATACAAACAGATACGTGGTGTTGTGGAGATGATACGAACAAAGCAACAAGGTAATGTTGACAAGCGTCCCAAGTTTCCTGATTGGATTGCGAGTTTACAGAATTTTCATAGTCTCCTGATTGCCAGAATTTTGTTGAATTTAGTCAGATCCGCAATTTCAAAAAAAATGTTTGGAGTAAGGGTGCTTTCACTAGCCCATGTCCCATATCCTGAATTTTGAGCTCCAGTGATTAGATACAGTAGTCATGAAAGGCATGGAGCATGGAGAAAATATATCACTATTATTAATATATTTTATCGATGGTTAGAGCTAGTTTGCCATTCAGAATGTAGGTGATAATTATGTTTTTAGGTCCTGTGGTGTGGAGTCGGGCAGACAGAGTTTTTTTTGTTTTTATTTTTAATTGAAATTTCTCATTCAGTTTCAATGGCAGAGAGTCCACCACTTACATTATGAAAAAGAACAAAATTTACTACTGTAAATATAAGAAACAATTTTCAAATAGAACACATGCTATCAACAATAACTATTAAAATTGAATGGTCTTTTTTCAACACAAAAATAGGAGTCGACTGATATGAGACATAAAACCATTTCAAATTTTATCAGCATTCAATTGTTGCTATAAATAATACTAATTATTGGGTTGTGGTGATAATTTTGTCTGCTCTTTTCTGTTTCTATGTGTTTCCTAGATTAGGATTTGTTTGGGGTGTATTGCTTTTTATTTATTTTAATAACAACTCTCTAATATATGTTTATAGTGCACTCTATCTAGCATTTATACATTGGACAAAAACAAATTTTTGTTGACCAAGCCTGTTGGAAAAGTTGAATATCTTGGGTTGTTTTTTTACCAAAATATTGTTGTTTTTTTTTCCAAGGAGGGGCCCAAAATTTCTACATGACATTCAACAGACCACATTTGAAGCTTTACATAATAAAAATGTCATTACCATTTTGTCAACAAAAGTGTATTGGGTTACATAAGTGATGATTTGCAATGAGCCAAGAATTTGGGCTACTGTAGGTTTTTAGTATAAAAAACAGTTATGCCTGACAGACCCTTCAAACATCACTGTGCCTGGCCTAGATAAAATTAA